AGGTAGGTGGGTTTCCCACAAGGCAGGTGGGTTAACGATAAGGGGTCAGCTCCTCACCCACCCACCCTTGGAGAAATGCATCAATTTTCACTGTGAGTCCAGCCTGCTGTGGTAGCGTTTTATTCTCTTCCTGTGAGCCTGGATAAACATCCAGGATATCTCACGGCATGGGACAAATGCCAGGAGGCAGTGAGACCCCATGGGCTGAATCTGAGACAGCCAAGGTCAGCAGATGTCAGCTGAGCCTCAGCCAGCATCTGCATGAGCTCATCATCCACAGCAAAAGCAGATGACGCAGCTGAGCCCAGCTTAACTAAGACAGCTCTTTACAGCCTGGGAGAGCTGGGAAGGAGACTTAATTCTTCATGTCAATGAACTCTTCCATCTTCACTTAAACAAGGAGATTTCATGGTGCTGAAAGAAACAGTAAAATCCATCTCCAGATAGCACGAAGGCACAAATTGTCTCCAGATACACTTTTAATTTCACCAAAGTTTGTGTTTTCTGCTAATTTCATAGCCTTATCCTGTATGATTCTGGTAGTTGACTCTTGTCAGCACCTAAGCAACTCACAGCCACTTGCTCACCCCCACCCCAGAGAGACAGGGAAGACAACAGGAAGAGCAAAAGCAAGTAAGCCCATGAGTCAAGACAAAGAGTTTAATAACTGAAGAACAGAGGAAGAATAAACCCAACTAACAAAGGATACAAAAGCAGTCATTCACCACAACCCACAGGTAGACCAGTGCCCAGACAATCTCTGAACAATGCCCAACTCCCCCAAAAAATCTTTCCCTTCTGTTTTTATTGTTGAGCATGATGTGGTAGGGCAGGGAATATTCCCATGGTTAGCCTGAATTGGCTGCCCCTTTTCTGTCCCCTCCCAGACTCTTGTACACCTTAGGCCTAAGCTGCTGGAAAGACAGAGTGGGAGTTTTTGGTAGTGGGGGTTGGGCCCGAGAGGTGGCTCCAGTAAGAAGCTGAGAAGCGCTACCTTCTCCAAACCCAGCCAAGGAGCCATTAGAGAGACAACAGATGCACCTCTGTGATTAACATACTAAAGAACTGAGATAAGAACTGAGCAGAGCCAGTGACTGGTGAAAAGAAGAGCTGAGCTGGACAGGTGAAAGGCAGTGCTGGGGTGAAGATGCCGTGTTTCGTAAGGATGAAAGGGAAGAAGATGCCCAAGCAGAAGTTTTCCTGCAACCCATGGTGAGATGGCAGCTGTGCCCCTGCACTCACGGAGGAATGTGGTGGAACATTCCCTGAAGGGGCCAGAAGGGGTGAACTTGGCCAGCGGACTTGGATATTGCGGCCAGTGGACTCTGACTGTGCAACTTTGGAAGACCCCGGCACCTGGGGATTTTGTTCCCAAAGCAGCCTGTGACTCTGTGGGAAGCCCAGGCTGGAGCAGCTCCGGACCCCATGGGAAGGACTCATGAAGGAGAGGTTCGTGGAGGACTCTCTCCGATGAGAGGGACCCCGTGGGGAAGCAGGGAAGGACTGCAAGGAATCCTTCTTCCTGAGGAAGAAGGAGCAGCAGGAACCACCATCCTGTGAACTGACTCTAAACCCCATCCCCTGTCCCCATGTGCTGATGGGTGGAAGGAAAAAGGGAGGGGTGGGGGTAACATACGTAACCACTGCTCTTTCTTATCGGTGAAGAACTCTTCTTGTCCTTTGTCTCGATCCATGAGCTTCTAGTTGGCCTTTGTCCTCCCCATCCCACGGTGAGTGTGGGGGGGAGTTGCGTGAGCAGCCATGGGGCTGTTTCTTTTTTGTGGTGTTAAGACTCAAACCACAACACCTTGACACTGTGCAAGCTGGTTCATCAATAGCCAGAACACTGGTGTGTCGTTAACATAATTTGTTTAGTCACAAATCTGAAACACAGCAAAGTATCGGTGGCTACAAAGAAAGTTCACTCCATCCCAGCCACACCCAGTATAATTGCTAACAAGTAGTACCCAAGACCAGAATGACCTTGCATCCTTTCTGTACAACCTTTGACAGGACAAGCAGACAACAGTAGTTCTTCTTGGGGTGCAATCTGTAAACACTCCTTGTAAACACTTACAACAAAACCGTCTACTCTACACCTCTCTACTTTGGCTACAGGAAATTGGCAGAAACATAAAATAACCTTACCACAGTCAGGATATTTGGCACTGATTGTTCTGCTGTAGCCACACAGCTATGAGACCTGTCAGAGAAGATAAGCTGGTGTAATGTCCTTTTGTTCCTCCCAGACCCACGCAGACTGACAAGTAAAAAAATATTACACAAAGTAATTCGGTCATTAAGAAATCAAGACACCCCAAGTGCCATCACAGTGCATTTTGGAAAATGTGTAAGTGATGGTAAGGATGTGGCAAGTTGGGAAAATAAGACTTCCCCTCTGGGTCCGGTTACTGAAAGTCAATGTTCCTGTCCTGAGACAGGAATGATTCCAATGTGACAGTTCCTACATGTTTGCTTGGTCTCACTTTGCTGTCTCTTGCTGAGTAGAGACCAAAAGCTCTTCGGACAGGGCTTACATTTTTTGTTGTTTGGTTTGTTGGTTTTTGGTTTTGTTTTTGTTTTTCTGTGGTACTTCTGTGGTCCTTTTTGTGGTCGTTGTGTTAATGCTGTAAATACAAGTGGGAATATCCATTAGTCCTTGACAAATGAAAGCATAAATCTCTTTGCTCCACAGTTCACATTCTGATCAACTCTTCAGTGTGCAAGGGCTCCAAAATGGTGTAAAAGCACAGAAAAAAACCCCACACCACAGCGCTTCTCAACAGAAGAAAACACCTGTGTCAGGAAGGCCCTGAACTGCAAATTTGCAAATTGCTGTAAGAGAGCAGAGTGGGGATGTGTTATAAATGCTTGCATCTTTCCTATAGTCTTTTGTAGGTGTCTGCTGTTAGGCTCCAGGAAGACAGATACTCTCATGCCATGGTCTGATTTGTCTCAGCTAGTAAAAAGGTCTGAATCACCCAACCAAAAATTACTGTCAACATTGATTTACGAAGCCAAGCTATTCTTAATGCCCTTAGAGCAGAAACACAAAAAATAAATGGACTTGAATATGCAACTCCTGAAGGCCTGTCCCCTGGTAGCTGCATCTGTCCAACATATGCACTGGGCAACAGGGGTCCAGGGCAGCTGAAGGTTTCTTGGCTTCTTCGGTGGCATCACTGCAGGGGTTGCTCACCTCGGGACAGAAACTGAAATGCCTGCTCTCCCTGAGCAATCATTCTTGTTGGGGCCCTCCACAAACCCGTCCCACAAAAGCTACTTTCAGCATAGCTTGTTCTGAGCATCTTGAATGTCACTGGTGTCCTCTGTGGGATGGGAGGGCAGAGCTACATTTGCCTTTCCCAAACGAGTCTGCATGTGTCTGGGGCCAAGCAGTGCTGCCCTGCAAACGTGTCAATATGTGGCTGACGGTGGGAAGGTTGCGTTAGAGGAAACAGTTCCAGGTCCTGGCTGCCACCAACTGCTGGAACAGGACTTGCTACATGCTTCTGGTGTAAAAAGTGGTGCTGAAGACCTCATGGAATCTGGTGAAAGCTTTATCCTATGTGCTTAGTTACACAATGGCCATGAAATGCAGCGCCTGCATCTTACTTTTAAAAAGTATCTGTTACTTAGTTAACTTTAATTAAGTTCACACACAGGGAGAAATGTCGTATGTGGTGTCCTGTTGGTGAAACTCAGGAGAACTTTAGACTTGCTCTGACATTGTGGTCTGCTGTTGCTGTTCATTAACTAGGTCCTCATGATGAAAACATCACTTGAAACCATACGGTTATGGATGAATAATGTTTAATTACTTGCTGATTTGTCCTTAGGGAATCACAGAATCCTAGGGGTTGGAAGGGACCTCGAAAGATCATCCAGTCCAACCCCCTGCCAGAGCAGGATCACCCAGAGCACATCACACAGGAACGTGTCCAGGTGGGTTTGAATGTCTCCAGCAAAGGAGACTCCACAACCTCTCTGGGCAGCCTGTTCCACGGCTCTGTCACGCTCACAGTAAAGAAGTTCTTCCCGATATTCACATCCTATGCTCCACTTTGCACCCATTGCCCCTTGTCCTATCACCAGACATCACTGAAAAAAGCCTGGCTCCATCCTCCTGACACTTGCCATTAACATATTTGTAAACATTGATGAGGTCACCCCTCAGTCTCCTTTTCTCCAAGCTAAAGAGACCCAGCTCCCTCAGCCTTTCCTCATAAGGGAGATGTTCCACTCCCTTCATCATCTTTGTGGCTCTGCGCTGGACTCTTTTGAGCAGTTCCCTGTCCTTCTGGAACTGAGGGGCCCAGAACTGGACACAATACTCCAGATGCGGCCTCACCAATGCAGAATAGAGGGGGAGGAGA